CGCCATTCCTACCAACATCAGCTTTGCACAGCGTTCAGTCGGCATTCCCAGCATGTTAACGAAGTCCAAAAAATTCGGGGAATCTTTATATTCCTGCCGGAAAAATGACAGCTCTTAGTCGATAGTGTGTGTATCTACTCCAATTTTGTGTTTGTATGGGCCGAATTGGACCTCACTGAGCCCTATTTTTCCAGTCTGGATTTCTTGGTAATTCGATGTATCCGGCTTTAAATTGCTGATTGTTAATTAGAATCAAATCAAATTGCAATTTGTGAATTAGAAAAAAAAGAAAAGCAGTACGAGATACCATCAATTGAACAGCAAAATAACATTCTTCACATAACTGGAAAGATTATGTGGTGTTGCCAGGGAAGGACTAACTTTCAGAATAGGGCCGACGGCAATCTTCCTTGCAATGAAAAAGGCGATCACACAAAAAAAGATAAAAAAGTTAAAAATTGCGCATCGAGGGCTTCGAAATTAATTTCGATTTAGAACAGAGCCTTCTCGGAAATAGCCAATTGCCAGGTTGTACAGACTCTGTCCATGCAAGATTGTTTAAAAAAAATACTTTCGTTGAGTTAACAAAATTTCTAACATTAATTTTTTTTRCAAGGAAAACAAAGGTCATGGATGGATTTTATTTTACCATACCCTCTTCCTTCTCTCTGTTCCCATATGTGTTACAAGTCCGTCACTTCTATTGATTATAGCCAGTTCGTTCTGTTTTTCACGGTGTTTGGATCTGACACCATTGAAACATAATAACATACACATTTGGTTTATTTCATAATGTGCACTGACCAGCTTTCTTTTTCCCGTTCCCTTTCGGCGATCTTAAAAAAGAGAAGTTGCTCAAGTGTATTGCTTGTTGTCATTGTTGTATGACTGATTTGATTTAGAGCGTATCCCAGATAAAAAATATGTAATGAATGAATGGGTAGTAAATCAAAGCCTTCTTTTCTTACAACTTTGACGTCCTCTGTCAAAGCATGACGAGCAATGTTTGACTTCACTGGTCCCGGAAGAACAGTCTGAACTTGGATGTTGTGCTGTGTCAACTCGATCCGCGCACTGTCAAAGAAGCCCTAATAAAGAATTATTCATCGATCGTCAATAAGCCCCTAAAGACTTAGATCAAGCAAAAAAACGAACAGTAATGTCCGTCAAAGGAAAACAATCGTGATGTTAAAGCGAAGTTTGATGAGTTTGAAAGAAGTTAAATGGTTTTTTTTTAAGAGTCTGAACCAGTTCTCGTTTTTCGTTCTTTTTGCAACGTTTAAAAAAAACTTCTGTTCTTTGAGTTCAGTGATAACTCAGTATAGGTTTGATGACTCCAAACCTTCAATACAGATTCTAAAAAAACTTTTCAAAAAGAAGATTCGTGTGACGGTTATTGCAATTCAATGCGTGGAAAAAGCAAATGATCGAGTCCGTTTTTCAGTGAACTACAAGCACTTGAACCCAAGAATTGGGTTGTTCCTAAAAAGCTGTGGGATTGCTATGGAAATTTAAAGAGAGAAAGNGGCCCGGCGATTGTCCATGCGTTTGTTACTCACAACCAAGACCGCGGGAAGTAGTCGTGCAAGTCAAAACAAATCAGGGAAGACAATTTATTTTGTTGCTTAGTTATTTTTTACTCGTGCGACAGATTTCACTGAAAAGTAGGGACTTCTTTTGGTCTGCTCACAACCTACGCGAAAAAACAGTCCCAATCGATACAGCAAAGGATCCATGTTTTGCTCAAAGCAAAGTTATGAATTACATACCTGCAACGCATGTTTACTGGCACAATATGTAGCTCCGTAAGGCCGTCCTGAAACAATTCATTCATGTTGGTAAAAAAAGTGGTCCCAGATAAATCAGAGCATGTGCATCTCCATAACTACCAGAATAATAGCTCTTAATGAACCAGTAGTTGCTAGATGTAAAGAGGCCATATTCTAAAACTCATTAACAATCTTCTGGGTTAGAAGAAAATGGTACTAAGTACTTAATGAGGCTTCACGATGAAGTATTGTATTTTGTCTCACGAAGAAGTCACTTACCATATGGGTATGAACTGAATATATTTATATTTGGTTTTAATTGCGATCACTAAATCGTACTACAATAAAAATGACTTAAAGGTTAAAATATAAAACAACACCTCAACGTTACCAAACTTTCCCAGAACACTGCTGACTATCACAATTTGTCCGTAAAGGCGCTCAATCATGTGTGGAAGAACTGCTTTGGTTAAGGAGATCGTGCCGATGAGATTTAAATTTATGAGAGCTTTGTCCACCTCTAGAGAAGTCTTTTCCACTAAAGATTTTTGCGATCGGGCACCATTGTTCACTAAAATATCAATCTAAATGAAAATAAAGAAATAAAGTTAAGAAAACTTTGGTCCAGTTTTGTATGTAAACCTTACATCTATTGAGGATTTAATGACTTCCTTCTAAAAATATAGACCGTTAACTATTAACCTGTAATGCTGTAGATACCGATATTCCCGAAGAGCTTGCCTATCTCAATTTCACACCAGCATTGGGCTCTGGAAGGTTTTATCAGAGTTCAAACGAGATGCGAGAAATGTCCAGAGGTTCGAAGCATAGTGGGGAGACAGTGGGAGGAAGGACTTCATAATCACCACTGCAGGGCGAGCCTTTCTCCTCCTGCAGGAAGATTTGAGAAGAATGGGGACTAATAACGAGGTCTCATTGTTTCTCGCGAGCAATTAAAAGCTCGTGACGAAGAGCTGCTAACAAGGGGCTGCTTACAGGGTAACGGACTGGATCGAGCGAACAGAATACTAGTAAAAGTAAGGAGTGTGAAAATTCTCGTTAAATAAATTTCTGGTTATGAGTGTAGTCAAGTTTAATTTCCTCATCCATAGTTAGTGAAGTGAGGGATACAAAATTGAAACATCGACGCCCAGCCGTCGGTTGCGTTCCCATACAGGACATCTAAGTTTTCGCGCATGCA